ATCGATTTTGTTATCGATTCTTATCGATTTTGTTCTCGATATTTATCAACTTTGTTAGCGATGTTTATCGATTTTGTTATTGATTTTGTTATCGATTTTGGAATCGATATAAATCGATTTTGTTATCGATATTTACCGATTTTGTTATCGATATTTATCGGTTTTGTTATCGATGTTTATCGATTTTGTTATCGATATTTATCGATTTTGTTATCGATATTTATCGATTTTGTTATCGATATTTATCGATTTTGTTATCAATATTTATCGATTTTGTTATCGATATTTTTATTGATTTTCTAATAGACTTAGCTACCAATGGTATTATCGATGTTGCTATTGAAATAATTATCGAATTTGTCATCGATTTTGTTGTCGATATTTTGATGGACGTTATAATCGATTTTGTTATCGATAGAGTATGAAGATAAAAATGAAGATAATGGAAAAACAGAATAACATGAATGTTATTAAAACGAACAGTGGTAGGGGTAAGGATCTACATTGATAGAAAAAAGGCGAAAAAATATAACCTTAAGCAAAAGCAGATGTGTATATGTATAGATAGATAAGTAACGTAAGTTTCACTTCTACAGTGTGGCCCAGGCGCACTTACTTTATTTAATGGTTTATTTGAATTTATTGCGCTAGCCACAAGGTATTTCGGGTTATCTTTTTTTATTGAAGGTAGAGCAGGGAATATTTCTTTTGTTATGGATTGTGGTTTTTTTTATTTTTGCTTTTGGACTTGTAGATAACGGGCCGAGCCTGAATTTTTCCTACCACCGAGAGCAGTGATAATACGTTTTTCTTACCAAATAAAAGTCTAATATAGGTAATTCACAAAAGGCGTGGGAAAAAAAACACACACGAATAGAATGCGAAAGAGGATTCACCGATACCACTGTTGAGCACAACCGTACGCTTTAAGTGTCAGTCGATGACTGCATGTTAATATTTTAGAGCAGGCTTTCCCAAAGTGGGTGAGCGTATGCCTGGGGTGCCGCTAGTAGCTAGAGTATACTAGTGGTGCGGGCAAATTCTTTAGACTTTCCATACACAACGAAGTGGTTTGATCAAACTTCAACATGGCGGCCAGAAAATCAAGAAATTTTGATTTTTATTAAAGTTACCTTCAGCAGCTCGTCAAACCCCATACACATATTTCGCTCTTAAGCGTAGTTCCCCAGTACGTTTTGTCAACGTAAAATTAAATCAGAAAATTTTCAGAAAAATAGCCGAAAACGAACCATTTTTAACAACCACTTTCGGTACTTTTGTAGACCTTATCCGAGTTTCATCCACTTTTCTTCCCGTTTTCGGATTAGTTTTCGGTTTTTTGTTGGCTGGGCTGTTCTCGTAACAAGCGCAGCAGCTTCGCTAACGTGTATATATTACTTATTCTTTGGACTTTACAATCACTCTGTGAAGGAGCAAATCAACACGATTTTACAGGCAGTCTTCTCGTGTTAGTGAGGTACCCATTCGCAATGCAAATCGAAGAAGAACTTTTGATGAGCGAAGTACTTGAGACTTACACCACTACCCTCGAAATTTTTAAAGCTATCGACAAATTTGTACAGAACAATGGTTTGAAATGGAGCAAGTGTGCGGATATTTGCAGTGGCTGGAAAAACGAAAGGTGCGATGTCTAGGATGAAACAAGGGGCAGAAAACGTCACGAGAAGCCACTGTATGATCCGTTGGTATTCCCTGGCGAGTAGGAAGATGCCGCCACTAGATTTAAAATCCGTATTGAATGACGCTGCGAAGATAATAGAGGCCTGCGAAATTAAAATACATCTCTGGTTTTTTCTAGCACGTTGAGATTTTTTTTATTGGTGACATGCAAGGCGAATTTGTATAAGGTGGTGTTACTAGATCAGCTGATTTTGTGTATGTGTTTCGCCTCACGGCTTCTAATGTCAAATTGAAAAATTTTGTTTGAATTTCCACACACACACTTACAGATTTTGACAGTTTATGCCGCCAAAGCAAAAATAAAATACATGTAAATTTTTGTTTTTGTTCTCCTGCTATCACCTTATATTAATTCGCCTTGGTGACATGTATATCGAGGTGTCGATGCATCGATGTTTTCTGTAAACTGACATATCAAGTACATCGAATGGCCGAACATCGTTTTGTCTGAAGTTCATAGAGAGGAAGATGCAGTTTTATAGCTCATAAAATGTTAGTATAATAAAGTGCAAGTTTCAATTGCTTTAATTTGTAATATTTTTTCTTTGGCTGACTTGAGCTTTGTTATACTAAAATTTTATGAACTATAAAATTAGTACATACCGAAAAAGGTTTTCAGTGTTTTATTTCCATAGTAGAGGAAAACTTTATGCGTATCGATGCATCGATGTACGCGCTCCGATGCATCGACAAATATCGATGTAAGTTTCGATGCATCGATGCGAGGAATAACATCGATGTATTTTTGCCACTCACATCCCTATGGCGAAGGCAAGATGCCGCAGTTAGCTAACTTGATTTGTTGCAGAAGTCAAACCGCCGCCTTTGGTTTGTTGTAGGGATGTCGAAAAAACATCGATGCATCGAAAACATCGATGGTTTTTTTCGATACATCTAAAATTTTTAACTCGATGTAGGCGTGGTCGATAGTATCGACACATCGATGTAAAAGTGTCGATGTATTTTGAAAAAGGCACGTCTCTATTTAAATACCGTCCATTTAATTTTGTGAAGTTCTCAGGTAAGTGCTCAATTCTTATAATTTTACATTTTTATTGTGAAACAATTAAATAATGGAAGTTATTGATTTAAAAGAAGGATATTTTAACACAATGCCTCCAAAAATTATAGTTTGGCGTTTCTTTGAGAAAGCGAGTGAAGGCAATGCGATCTGCAAACTTTGCAAAAAAATTCTTAAAACGGCGGGTAACACGTCGAATTTAATGTGCCATATTAGAAATGTGCACAAGGATACATATCATGCTATAACTAAAAACCAAAATAGTGAGAAGAAAACTGTTGAAAAAGAAGTTTTAGGCGATTCACAAAAAATGACTGAAACCGCAGCGAAGTCAGTCCGAACTCCAAAATCGCCATCGACAGGTGCATCATCGGGTACACCATTTTATTCGCCGTCTTCACGACCTCAGTCAACGGATGTACATTCGCAGCCATCTATTGTTTCCAGTTTTGATAATGCCAACGCTTTCTCTTCAAGTGGAGAAAAAACTTTACGAGTAAATGAAGCTCTTATGTACATAATTTGCAAAGACTACCAACAATTTTCTATCGTCGAAAACGAGGGATTTCGTCACCTACAGAAGATAGTCGCACCGCGCTATAAAATTCCATGTGAGCTAAATAATTAATTTTAAAAAAATATGCATACTAATCTAACAATTTTTCTGCAGGTAGATCAACATTAACAAAGTGGGTCGATGCCAAATATGATGAGTTGGCTTTCATTTTTCGCGATAAAATAGCTTTTGTTGAAAATGCGACGCTTGATGTGAAGAGTTTTCTAGGAATCACGGCGCATTTTGGTGTTGATGTGCAGTTCCATTCAGTGACACTAGAAGTGTATGAGTTAGATGAGCGGCACACATCTGAATATATTGCCGAAAAGCTTCTAAAAGCGTGTGTAGAGTGGAAAGTGGAAACCGATAAGGTGTCAGCTGTAATAATTGACAACGCGGCAAGCATGGTGAAGGCTATAGATCTTGCATTTGGAAAGAAAAAGCACGTACCCTGTTTTGCCCATACCTTGAATCTAGTGGCTGAATCCGCGATTCAATATACGTCAGCAAACATCATAGTTAAAAAAATTAAAGAGAGTCACCTACTTCAAACAGAGCTGCACTGCTAGCGACGAATTACGTAAAGCAACAAGTGATGAAACAAAGCTTATTCAAAGTGTGCCAACACGCTGGAATAGTACATTTTATATGATTCAACGTTTTCTGTCTATTAAGAGCACTATTGGTGAAATTCTCCTACGTTGCAACACGGCTCCTGCTATGCTTAGTGGCTCCGAATTGTCTTCAGCTTCTGGCATTATCCAGCTCCTTCGTCCTTTGGAAGCAGCCACAAAAGAAATATCTGGCGATCAGTACTGCACCGCAAGTAAAATAATTCCTATGGTTTCGTGCTTGGTTCAAAAAATTAACTCGTTTTCCAATAATGACCTTCTAGTCAAAGAAATTCAACAACACCTTTTAAAGGAAATCTCCAAACAAATGGGAGCTCTTGAAATGGTAAATTTGATTTAGCCTCATTCGTTTTCAATTGTAACTCTTCTTGATTTTAATTTTTTGTTTTATAGGTAACTCCCCTTGCAATCGCTACCATCTTGGATCCACGTTTTAAGAAAATTCACTTTTCTGATCCTTTGGCTTGCTCTACTGCCGGAAACCAAATTAAAGTGATGGTGAAAGATCTAGCACAAGGTGAAGATGTTAAAGACTCAGATTCTAGTATCTCTGACAGAAGCGAAAACAGTTTTTCTCTTTGGAGCGACCACCAAAGGCTCGTGCACAACAACTGGAAGTCAAACAAAATGGACGAAAATCTGTCGGATCAAGTTTCAGTCTACTTAAGAAGCCCAGTTTGTCGACTGAACGATAACCCGCTCGATATTTGGAAAGATATCAAGCTTCAGTTTCCCATATTATACAAAGTGGCTTATAAATATCTTACGATGGTTGGCAGTTCGGTGCCCTCTGAAAGGCTATTTTCTAAGGCGGCTCAAGTTTTAAATCAGCAGCGGAATAGACTAAAGGGAAAGCGTTTAAACAAATTGTTGTTCTTGCAATGCTTGAACAAACAATATTGGAAAATTGACTGAAAATATAAAATGTTAAAACTATGTTTAAAACAAGTAAGAGCAGCGCTGTCTTCGGCTGTGCCGAAGGCTTCATACCTTTCATGAACATCTGCAAATTTTACTTTGACAGATTACTGCTTTTGAATACATCTGCATACATCGATAGAGGAGTTACATACTTATATAAAAAATCGCATCTAAACAATCAGAGGTATGGAAGATATACTTTATATGGCACCAATCTAAGTGATTTTCACTGCTGTGTGATCGGTATGTAAACCGGTAACACAATTTATTGAGTTTAGTTTCCTACATAAAGGAGATATATGGCAAAAACTGGTATCTGAACA